TCCTTAATTCATACGAAGAAAACTCCATACAGGAGCTTCCTCAGAGAATAATAAAGGAAGCTAGCATTATCTTTTAACTTCAGTTTCCGCTAAAAGACGTGGTCCTATCACGATATAATAAGGTATTTGGTGACTATATTCAACGCACCAAAGCTGAACTTGTAATAAAGGATACCAGAGATACAATTAAATTTGCCTCATATCTTGACTTACATTTAGAAGTTGACAACGAAAGTCGTTTGAGTACAAAACAAAACGAGGAAAAGAAGATTTTAGCTTTCCAGTTGTGAACTTTCTATTTATATGTAGCAACTTTCCAGCAGAGCCTGCATATGGAATATACAACTCCCAGTTGTATATACGATATTTTCAAGACAGTTGTTTATATATGATCTATAAAATAATTTATTTATCTATCATATTTTTCAAGGCAATGACACAAAATGGCTAAATACGATTTCGGCAATTCGACTTATTTGTAGATCATGACTTGTAAATAATTTTTGATGTTTCTCTCCAAAACAAAAAAAGAAGATGTGGTATAATTTCTAATGAGAAAAAATCTCCACCAGAGACCATGCTTAGAAGTAAACAACTATAGGTCACCGTGCGGCCTTCAACAATAAGTAAAATTCCCATACCGCACAGCAAGCTATAAAAGGGCATGAAATGACAAATTTAAAACCATTCAAACGAGAAAACTAACGGCCTGATTTATGTACAAAAAAATAAACCAAAAACAAATATGATTTTTAAAATCACTTTTAAAACCACATGTTCATGACATGGGACAGCACATACAGAAAGCTAAACATTGTTTTTGCTGGCGCCAAACACTTTCTTTAACCTGGGACAGTGGTGTAACAGTTCAATATAAGAAAAAACTACAAAATTCGTTGAAAAGGGATTAACCCATCAGATCGATACAAATCACAAATAAAAAAATACCGATCTGAGATAACTCGCAGTTACTGAAAGCTAGTTCAAAGCCAATAACAAAAACAAAATGTATTTAAGACTACAGATATGTTCGCTATTCATTATATTTTCAAAAAAATAGGCAATACCGCAAAAAATGGTAATTATTGTGATTTAAGGGCAATAACTCCAACAAGGAGTCAGCTGACGATTCTGGCATTTCGACTTATTGGTTGATCTTTTCTTGCTGATCCTTTTTGCTATTCAATGTTTTGAAAATAATGAGCAAAATAAAAATAATTGGTATAATCGTCGTCAAAGGGCAATAACTCTTATTAGGAGTCGACTGACGTTTTAGATCATTTTTGTTATTTAAAGTTTCTGTATACATGAATCAAAAATTAATATAATTGGTAAAAATCGTCATGAATCAAAAATCAATATAATTGGTAAAAATCGTCATTAAAGGGCAATAGCTCCTATGAGAAGTCGTCTGACAGTTTTGATGAAAATGAATATAAGGTAAATCTCAACATTCTGAATATTTCTGTCCCGTCAGATTTTTTCCTTTCTATCTTTGACGATAAAAGCTCATTTGACAGATGAGCTGAAATAGCAAAGTTAAACTCCTGTGTAGGTTAATATTTGTTTCATACATATATGCTTGAATTAAGCACTTGAAATTTGTTCTCTATTTGGAAGAATTTTTAAAGAGTTCTTCCATCGTTTGTAAACAAATCAAATTTATGGTGTCATTTTGTGAACTTCTAGACTACTAGTATGCTTTGTATGCTATATTTGGGTTCGATGCATCATAACTAACGTCATACTCTTTGCCTTGTACAGTAAAAAGAATATAAGAGCTAAAAAGCTTAACTGTTCCTCATTCAGCTACTTACTTATTCTAAAACATCTGCAAATTTAATAGTTGAATGATCATATAAGATCGATGATCGGAAATGCCTGTACCAAGTCAGGAATATGACAGTTGTATTCAATTCGTTTGAAGTGTATGAGATTTTGATTTTGCCATTTGATAAGGGACTTTCTGATTTGAATTTTCCTTGGAGTTCGGTATTTGTGTTATTTTACTGTTTGCTTTTTTACTTTGATTTCTCATAATAGCAAACATTTTGAATTCGGCAACGGGCATATGTACAAAATTCCAACATGAAAGCAAAATATGCCGGCCTCTAACAGTCACTTTCAGACCCGCTCAAACGTTTTTTCTATATAATGTAAGTCTTTCCAGCGGTTAATTGTTTGACGTGGTCAGTGGTCACCTAGTCTTTGCACGAAATCTTTATTTCAACTTTAAACAACGATCCTTTTCAAGTCTTTAACTACAAATATAATCATGACGGCAAAGACATGTGTTCAGTACCCGAAGTTAAACTGAGAAACTCAACCCGTTCGCAACCGAGATCGCGCATTCCTCGTTTTACACTCCTTTCAGTTTTCATTTAAAACCGTATCATCAACCTATTTCTTTACGAATATAAAGATATTTTGAATTTTTCGGTCCTCAAGTCTCTTTAACTTCGTACTTTATTTGGCCTTTTATCTTTTTTGATGCGAGCGTCACTGATGAGTCTTTTATTTACACCGCCGGAATTTTTTTTATATTCCTGCTCTTAAGAAGGATAACTCTACTGATTGAAAATACTTAAACAATTTGCCTCGATCCCGTACACGAGCGGTGTTGGAATCGAAGTTTTCCTGAACCTCCTTTAAAGGTCACTTCTCTTGAGCGGTCTTTTGAATCTACTCAAAGTGGCTGCTAAATAAAGGTTTAGCGGTATGATCGTATATGTGTTTGAGATTTTTGTGTTATATTCCTATCGCAAATTTGGAACGTCATTTTGATGTTAATAATGAACCCTGGTTTAAAGTTCCTACAGAGAAAAGTGAGGTAGATCTTTTGCATTTTATTTTCATGAAAAATATCTACTTAATATTGCAAACTTTAGGCGACAACTACCATTAATGATGTATGAAATTAATACGAAGCTTATGGAATACTTAATGAATAAATGCATTGAAAATAGTGACGTTGGACGTTAAATTCTATGTCAAATTACAAAAGACTGAAACGATATCTTTATTAAGAAACTGACAAGGTCTTTTCTCTCAGTTTAAACTTGATAAATATACAATAAATCCATTTAAGTCTGTTATGTCATATCCTGGTGTTTTAATTTTATATTTATACAATGTATTCAAAGAATAATGCTGCTTTTTATATAAATATTAAAATTCTTACATTTTAAAGAACCACACTGATTCCAACAACAAACACAACGAAGATGATATCAAATTACCCAACCTTTTTAATCGACAAAATATTTGTTGAATTTGATGGATTTATATTTCAGCAGACAGTCGGTATTTTAAAAGTATAAATTGTGCAACACTTCTGGACGGCTTATTTTTGTAATCATGTGAATCAAGAATCATACAGAACTTTTTCAAAGACAAAATAAAACAAATTTTTCATTGTTTTTCACAATTTTTAAATTTCAGTTTCATATATATGCTAATGATTATGTTCTGTCACTCAATAATCCACATTTCAGTGAGTACTTTCATCTCATATATCCCATTATATCTAAGATAGACGACTTCCAACTAAAAGCTATGACTAACGTGATAATCATATCTTTCCAGTTGTCAATTTCCCATTTCTCAGATTTAGTATATCCCCTGTTCCATCGCATGGTATTTATATATCCTAGCTAATACGTTACGCACATGAATGTTCTCACTACACGGACTTTATAAACAATAGTGTTGTCCTTCAACCGAAACTGATCCAGCAAAGTTATGAAGAACGACTTAAATGGACAATAGACAAGTTTTACTGTCACCTGCACGAATTGGTTGACCGATACGTATTGGAGCCTAAACGCACTAGCTGCATGTTTTAGCTGTCTTATATTTTTAGATATCAGTAAAGTCGTCTGATTTTTAATTTTACAGATTGTGCCGTATTCCCGAATGTGACATTTTGACTTATTGTGACCTCGTATGTCGGTAGATTCATAGCAGGAGACGTTTACCTGATTGACGCATCCGGTCCTACTCCTTTTGGAGTTCATGCTATTCTCTCAATTATTGTTTGTTACTTTGATTAGTATCTTCCTAATCAATTAACGAAATTGGTACATTGATAAACGACTGGTGTCTTAATACTAGCCTTCATGTGCGTAATCCCATAAGACTGAATATCTCTGATTAACCACATGCACGGCCTTGACATTGATATTCTTTTGAAACAACATTTATAACTTATTGTAGGGAAAAAGTAAAATAACAAAAATAAAAACGATCCCCAAGGGAAATTCATAACGGAAAGTCCCTTATCAAATAACAAAACCAATTATTTCGATTCTACTAATAGGAAAATTTCGAACTTATGTACTATAAACCTATAATAGGCGTTCAAAAGGCATCCAATATTGGATTGATGAAGTCAAAACGTTATAGAAAATCAACCATTTCATGTTGAACAGATACATGTATACTTACTTTTAGAATGATTTTATTTAATTTCCTAGCGAGCAACACGAACCCAATTGTCAAAAAATGTCCATTTTGATTTCCAGCAACTGACGTTGCAATTTCAATGTTGACATCAATCACGTGTGGCCCATGTTTTCTTGGAATTAGAACATAGCTTTGTTTCCGAAGCGAAAGAAGAACGTCAAATTAGAATTTTCTGTTTCGTACATTTAGATGAAAATTGTTACACAATCAATGTTTTACATATTTATTCACCGTATTTAAAATCAACGTTTCCTAATAGATAAAGTGGCAATCGAATGGTGGGAAAGGTGATTGTTAAATAATATAACCTTGATTGTATATATTTTAAACCAATGGCAGTTTTGAAATCAAATATGTCCATAATATAATTGTAATACAGATATGAAATATAAGCAAATCCAAAAACTTAATGTTTTTGTTTCTGTTTAAATACTGTGTCATTTAATTCTAATATTTTCGGAGGTAAGGCGATTTTTAAATTATGAAATATAAGAAAAATTAAAAATATATTATTCAACATTGCTGTTTGAATGCTGTTTCATATTAATCTTAAAATTTTGGATCGAAAGATGCCGGCTTGCAAACTGTGCTCTGTTTTGAATTCGGTCTGCTGTCACTTCCAGGATTTGTAATTGCAGCTGCAACCCCAGCAACGACTTCATTGACCAAACCTTTTCGAAGATCCTTAAATTCATTTTCCAAACCTTTTCGAAGATCTTTTGATTCTTTCCTTTGTTGCATTTTTAAGCTGTCCATCATTTTGTTGTCTCGAGACTTTTCCTCTTCAATATGTGTTTTAAGCAGAACTTGTACTTCGTCCTTTTCCAATTTTATTTGCTGCAAGTCAAGACGAACTTGCATTAATTCATCCTTGAGACGTTTTATTTCTTTTTTCTGTTCTTTGTGTACTATTGAATCTTTTTCTAACCTCTGAATGTCCTTCTTTAATTCCTTTTCACGCCTTTTTCTTTCTTCAATCTCTTTATCTTTTCTACTGTTAGCCAATTCTAACTGTTTGATTTTGTCGGTTATGCTCCCCATCTCTTCTTTTAAATTATCGTTTTCTGATTTAATTTTTTCAATTTGTCCATTTTTTTCTCTGTATATGCATTCCTTTTCATTTTCATGATTCTTTGCATCTATGACTATTTTCATATGGAGAACTTCCACTTCTCTTTCTTTATCCACATTAAACGATGTGAAATCAGATGACGACTCAATATCCCTTTTGGATGAAAGTTCCATGGTCGAGCTCAACACTGGCAAAATTGAACTAAAACTATAAAATAATCATTTTAAATGAAAAAGGAATATGAGGATTTTGTATATTGAACCATACTAATCTTCCTGTCACTTTAACTAGTTTCATGGCTACCATTAAACACTTATCTCAGGCATAGATTACCTTAGCCGTATTTTCACAACTTTTTGAAATTTTGGGTCCTCAATGCTCTTCAACTTTGTACTTAATTGGCTGAATAACTTTTTTGATCTGAGCGTCACTGATAAGTCTTATGTAGACGAAACGCGCGTCTGGCGTATTAAATTATAATCCTGGTACCTTTGATAACTATTTCCTACACAGGGTCGATGCCACTGCTGGTGGACGTTTCGTCCCCGAGGGTATCACCAGCCCAGTAGTCAGCACTTCGGTGTTGACATGAATATCAATTATGTGGTAATTTTATAAATTTCCTGTTTACAAAAGTATGAATATTTCGAAATACTAAGAATTTTCTTATCCCAGGGATAGATTACTTTAGCTGTATTTTCACAACTTTTTGAAATTTTGGGTCCTCAATGCTCTTCAACTTTGTACTTGTTTGGCTTAATAACTTTTTTGATCTGAGCGTCACTGATGAATCTTATGTAGACGAAACGCGCGTCTGGCGTATTAAATTATAATCCTGGTACCTTTGATAACTTTTATTACTACAGCTTGTATGGAAATATTGCTTTAATAGTCTTCACACTCTTGGATGTTGTAGATGTGTGACGCGCTTTGTAATAGTCCTTATGATTCGGTTGAACATTATGTGTTATCCACTCCAGACGCTACACTTTAACACGAGCAATTTTATCAATTAGACTTTGCCGTTCTGAATTAAATGGTCCTTCGAAAAATCTGATTTACGACATAAAAGGCGATTTATCATTCCCAATTGAAACTCTTCGATACCTACTTGTGTTATGTTTACTAACAAAATCGTTCTTTATTCCTGTGTTTGAAGTAACGTTTTAGATTTAATGAAGTGTGTTTGACGGATTATTTATGAAGTCAGGAACTTCGTAACCACAAATTACTGCAAACCTTCCACAGATAAAAACATTTGTTTAAGCGTGGCTGTGCCTGTTGAAATACTATCCATGCAATAAAAAATTAGGATTTCACATCCTTATTTTGATCATAATATGTTATTCATTTTTCTCGTAAATTACGATACAAATTTATGTTTCTTTAAATAAATTCATTGCTACAAAGTTATCATTTAAACATTGCGACAAGATCTGAAATAATGTCTATTTTTTAGGAGCTAACCATGATTTTTAACTAAATTCTTAGCAAGACTTATGGTCTTACATCGGCTCGATATTTAAATGTTGGCATTGCACAAAAATATCAGACTGCTTATGACGTCCTAATGTTAAACCTGTTGGAAATGTACATATTGACATTAAAGTATGGTAGAAAATGGTTTATATTATAAACGAAAAAGGGAATAAAAAAATTATTAGCAAAACCACCGAACTCAAAGCTAAATTCAAAAAGGGTAAGTCCTTACAAACTGACAAAATCAAAAGTTAGATTCTATTAACTAACGAAGCGAATTAAAAAAAAGGTAATATTTCTGACTCGGTGCTGGCATTTTCCGAACAAAATGGTGGGTTAAATCTGGTTTTAAAGCTAGCAAAACCTCCCATTTGTATGACAGTTGAATAAGCTTTCATTAACTGCGAGGACTCTGAAATCAGCATTTATTGTCAGTTGTCTTCTTGTTATCTGTTTTTGTGCTTAGTACCGATCCCGATGAGTAAATCCCTTTATTATTACAGTTTTTTAATATGTTGTATTGTTACACCACTATCTGGGGTTCGAAAGTTCACATACATGTTAAACATAGCCACATACTTAATGTCCCCACCCCAAGCCCGTGATAACGAAGTGGTTGTCATTGGTATCTGCCATTTTAGAATTTTGTTCATAGCTGTAGTCTACTGTAGGCCATTTGTTTTCTTTTGAATTTATCCAGTCAATTGTCGAAGACCACACGCTTACAAAATGTACATGTAATAGCTCATTTATGTGTCCTTTGATCTTTTTGAAAATCATACCACATCTTCTTATTTTCATATAAATTTTAGAGTTATGTAAATATACTCACACACTATTACCGTTTTTCAGGACAGCAGAAACAATGTATATTTTTTCCCACTTGATTTTGGAATCAATTTGGGTTTTCGTGTTCATTGAACCAAAAACATAATTATGAATCCTCAATGTCAGCATATATTTTGTTAATTCTTTAGGATTTCGGGATTGTTATACAACTTATTAAACGAAAATTACCGTTTTTCAACGATGTAATGTTGGCTGCACAATATGCAAGCAACGATCGCAAGTTACCGTCACAAGAACCGTATGCTATTAAGATGTCGTTTCACTAAAATTGCAATGGTGCTTTCATTTCACTTCAGTGTATATTCATATAAAAGCGAGCTTATCAAGTTTTAATGGGTATTACTAAAAAAAATTTGTATACAATAATAACTTTAGTTAGTAGTCATTTAAAGAGCAGCCCTAAATTTAGAAAATACGTTCTTATATGAAAGATAGTTTAGTACTATGAGTCTTAGAATCTTAAAACAATGTGTACTGAAGCTTAATTCTAAAAAAACTTGGTCGTGATTAGGGGTCTTTTTGAACTATGTCGTATCAATAAAAATTGTACTTTAAATTCAAATTTTTGACACCATAAAAACTGTTCCAATCCAGATCTGTTTTAAAAAATGTGTTATTTGATGAGTATGACATTCCGCTGTGAGTGCCAACTTTCGATATACCTAGATTCTTTTTACTAGGAATTTTTGCGAAAATTTAAATATAGATATAAAACCTTAGGGTATTTCAACTTGATTTCCAGTGACAAAAAAATAATCTTTGTGCATTTGAAAAAATGTGGGGAAAAGGTATTTTTATATAAGAATCTAACATAGCCACATACTTAATGTCCCCACCCCAAGCCCGTGCTAACGAAGTGGTTGTCATTGGTATCTGCCATTTTAGAATTTTGTTCATAGCTGTAGTCTACTGTAGGCCATTTGTTTTCTTTTGAATTTATCCAGTCAATTGTCGAAGACCACACGCTTACAAAATGTACATGTAATAGCTCATTTATGTGTCCTTTGATCTTTTTGAAAATCATACCACATCTTCTTATTTTCATATAAATTTTAGAGTTATGTAAATATACTCACACACTATTACCGTTTTTCAGGACAGCAGAAACAATGTATATTTTTTCCCACTTGATTTTGGAATCAATTTGGGTTTTCGTGTTCATTGAACCAAAAACATAATTATGAATCCTCAATGTCAGCATATATTTTGTTAATTCTTTAGGATTTCGGGATTGTTATACAACTTATTAAACGAAAATTACCGTTTTTCAACGATGTAATGTTGGCTGCACAATATTCAAGCAACGATCGCAAGTTACCGTCACAAGAACCGTATGCTATTAAGATGTCGTTTCACTAAAATTGCAATGGTGCTTTCATTTCACTTCAGTGTATATTCATATAAAAGCGAGCTTATCAAGTTTTAATGGGTATTACTAAAAAAAATTTGTATACAATAATAACTTTAGTTAGTAGTCATTTAAAGAGCAGCCCTAAATTTAGAAAATACGTTCTTATATGAAAGATAGTTTAGTACTATGAGTCTTAGAATCTTAAAACAATGTGTACTGAAGCTTAATTCTAAAAAAACTTGGTCGTGATTAGGGGTCTTTTTGAACTATGTCGTATCAATAAAAATTGTACTTTAAATTCAAATTTTTGACACCATAAAAACTGTTCCAATCCAGATCTGTTTTAAAAAATGTGTTATTTGATGAGTATGACATTCCGCTGTGAGTGCCAACTTTCGATATACCTAGATTCTTTTTACTAGGAATTTTTGCGAAAATTTAAATATAGATATAAAACCTTAGGGTATTTCAACTTGATTTCCAGTGACAAAAAAATAATCTTTGTGCATTTGAAAAAATGTGGGGAAAAGGTATTTTTATATAAGAATCTAACATTTTGAAAAAAAAAATTTTTGGTTTCTAGGATTGCAACAGAAACTGATATATAGGTAAAAGTGTTGTTCAAAGTTGATACCCGGTGTCATATTTGCAGTTAAAAGTTAGTATATTCTCATGAAAATCACATTCGTCTCAATTCAAATTGATTCGCTATTTTAAAAAATTCCATCGACAATTTTTTATATGGCTGCCATTATTCATTAAAAAAAACACAAGCGTGGATTTTAAGCAAACTTGGCATTATCCTAAACCAAAAGTGGAATTTTCTCTGTTGTCAAAATATATAAAAATCAAGCCCTATTCAAAAAAACTCATCATAGATACCAGGATTAAAATTTTGTACGTCAGACGTGTGTTTCGTCTACAAAAGACTCATCAGTGACGCTCGAATCAAACAAGTTAAACAGGCCAAATAAATGTCAGAGTTAAAGAGCATTAAGGACCCAAAATTCCAAAAAGTTTTGTCAAATACAGCTAGAGTAATCTATTCCTGGTTAAAGTAAAAACTTTGTGTGTATCAGAATTAATTATTTGTTTCTGTGTTTCACACAAAAATGTATAGGCAAAGCCCTTCCAGACATTGTCTTCTTCCAGTTTTGTTAAATACCAAATGGCTCATTCTGAGCATTATTCTTGAAGGATAATGTTAATTAAGCACCAGTACTTAAATGAATTCTTAAGTGCGGTACCTGAAATTTGGTGAGAGGATGGCATATTTCATCAAGTTTTAGTCTACGAAACTGTTATTTTTAGAGGATGATTTTATTTCTGTGAGTTGTGGAGCGAGCGATGACAATTTACATGTAGAAATTGAACTGTTGATCTCATTAATGGTTGATGCATGCATTTCAATAAACTCATCATAGATACCAGGATTGAAATTTTGTATTTGCGATAGACGCGCGTTTCGTCTACAAAAGACTCATCAGTGACGCTCGAATAAAAAAAAGTTTAAAAAGGCAAA